CCTGGATACAGGAGAGAGACTCTGAAGGCTGTGTAGAGGAGCCTGAGCTCTCAGTTGACCAACTTGAGTTACAGTCAGCCCTTGGGAATGAATTGAGTTGTAAGTCCAAGCATCCACTGTACCTTTCTTGTGCCTCAGTTTTCTTATTATTAGAATGGGAATGATAATAGGACCTATCTCACGAGGCAGTTATGAGCAAAGGCCTTCAAAGCCGAGAGCTGGTAGGTACTCAGTGCAACTTCTGGGTTTTGATCACTGTGCTACAGTTCTATAAGAGAACATACTTGCTTTTAGCAAGTATTTATTTATACACCAAAAATAATGTAGTGGAATAGAGACCTCATGTCTGAAACCAACTCCCATGATGCATGAAAAAAAATTATAGGTTGGTAGAAAAAATAGAAGGTTAAAGCAAATGTAGTAAAAAGGTTTATATTTGAGAGATGTGGGTAAAAGGTACACAGGAACTCTGTGTTTGAAGTTATGTCACAATAGAAAGTTAAAAAAGACAAAGGTATCCAAGCAAGGATGGCATCCTGGGGTGAGCGTTCATTGCTTCTCACCCTGGTGCCAGGCTCTGTGCTTTGGCCTTGGGTTCCTCGCTCCTTGTCTTGCCACAATCTGGGTGGAAAGAGACCAGGTAGCCCCCATTTCTCTGAGGCAAGTGAGGAAAGGGGAGGGGTCTGCCCTGGTTCCAAGCTGCTCTGAGGGCTGAGATCTTAGCCTCAGGCCCACTGTTAACTCTGACCTTTGCGGGAGAGAAGGGATGGGTAGGGAGAGGCATTTCTTCTGGCCCTGGGAGAGAAGCTCCACTGGTGGGCTGGCAAGGATGGTATTCCAGTGTTCTGCTGGGAGCAGGTTCAGCAGAGCCAAGCAGGATAAACTGTCATGTGGGGTCCCCAGATGCCTGGTGGCATCACTGGTACTGTCCACAGTGATCACTAGCAAAGGAAGCACAGAGCACGGCCTGGAGTGGCCTGGAGCTGGGTGAGGTAGGCAATTGGCCTTTGGAGGAGCTTATTGGGTGAGGATGGGGTGCTCCCAACAACCCAGGCCACGGTCCAAGCTGGAGGCACCACTGGGCCTGGAAGCCTGCCGGCTGTGCCCTCTGGAGGAGTCCACATGCTGGACTGAGTGGGCAGGAGTTGCTGAAGCCTCCAGTCTGGACTGGCAGCAGTTCTGGAGGTCTGTGTGAAGAGGGCTTCTGTCCTGGCTGGAGGGGGAGCGTGGGAGGGACAGGGTGACCTCTGGCAGTCCCTCCCTGTCACCAGGACCATCTGGCTTTGCCCCGGATTGCAGAGCTGAGGGTCAGTGTCTGGCAGCCTATGAGTCAGACCAGGAGGCTTCTCCCCACAGCCCTGCCGCCACCCTGCCCTGGCACAGGTAAGGGCTGGAGTTTGACCTGTCTCCCTTAAACACTCCTCCCGTGCACCCTGAGATTTGGGTGATACGTGGGCTGAGTGAACTGGTTGTTCTACTGGGCCCAGAGTGTGTGCCTGAGCCTGTGGCTGGGCTCGTGTGTCAGTGCAAATATCCTCCATTGTAAAATATCGGTGTTTTCATGGGTGAGTAGTAATTACTGGGTAATGCTTTAAAACCTTTTCTGAAGGAGTGCAAAGCTGGTTTTTTTTTCTGAAGTCAGGAGTACATTAAAAGGATTACCATGTAGATTTGATTTTTAGATAACACTAAAATGGATCCCAAATGGACTTCAGCAAAGGGATGCTATCTCCTTAATGGAAAGTGCATGGCCCGAGGCTGAGCTCCCAGAGACAGGCAGGGGGAGGGAGAGAGGAGGAGGGTCTGCAGGGGGCAGGCTGGAGGGCTGGGGAGGCAGGGCAGGGAGTGAGAGCCTGGGCCCTCTGGGGAGCAGCTCCCTCCATTTGGGCAGCAGGAGATGGTGAATGCCCCCTTTAAAGCCCCTTTGCTTTCCCAGGGTTGATTTTGAGCTTCCCGGCCTGGCCCAGTATAGCAGACACTTTGTAGTGTTCCCTAAGGAAGGAAGAGGCCTTGTCTTGTTTGACTCCCAGGATTCCCTTCACCTCCAGTGAGAGGCAAGGGATTGTTTGGGTTTTTCTTACTGGACAGATGAGGAAACTGAGGCCTGAGGAGACTAGGGCATTCACTCTGGACCTCCTGGCTAGAGGTGGCGGATCCACAGACTGGTTTGGATCCAGACCATGGGCACACTATGAGGCAGGCTTGTCCCAGGATTCCTGCAGAGAGAAATCTCAAGGGTCCCCATTGTCCTGGCCACAGTGTTCCATGTCTCAGGGGACTTGAGACACTAGCTTTGTAAGAGCTTTGTGGAGCCCTGTTCAGCACCCCCAGGCGTGGTGGGCAGGGCCTGTAGAAAGCTCACAAGTGGCAGGCCCAGTCTGGGCACCAGGGGCAGCTCGTGGCATTGCCCCCTCGTGGCTTCCATGGCCCTGCTGGTGAGGGGTTGCCAGCCAGCTCTGCAGGCTCTGCAGCCAGTTGTGCTGGGCCTGCTGGGATTGTATGAGTATGGATCCCTGGCGGGGGCTCGAGACCACAGGGAGGAAGCCAGGCCTGCTGCCTGCCCAGGAAGCTTTGGGGACACCAGCTGTGGAGAGGCTGTGCCAGATGCCCTGGTGCAGATCTGAGTTAGTATCTGTATGCATTGTTATGCTATACTGGGATCCCTCCAGAGGCCTTGGGAGCAGTAGTCCTGCTCTTGGGGTCCCAGGCCTCCCCCAGATCTAGCTACTGTAACCTCTTCCCTATTTTCTGTAGGCCAGGTCTTGGAAAGCTTTACAGGCCCTGCAGCTCACAAGGGTCCCGCTCCATGGGCTCCTCAAGAGCTCTGTGACCTGGCCGAGTTCTGCCAGAGGAGACCTAGGCAGGCCTGAGGACAGCGTCCTCCTGAGCCCCACCCCTCTCTCAGACCAATTAACCTTTAGAGCTGCATTAAGGAAATTAGGCTGCAAACTTGCCAGATAACAGGCCCTGCGGGGACTGGAAGGAGAGAGCCAGCTGACCCTTGTGCACTACAGCTTTCCGTGCCACCTCCCGCCTGCCCTCACTGGTCCCCCTGGTCCCCGGCTTGTGGCAGGCCTGGCTCCCTCCCTGAAGAGAGGGCTGCTGAATTGGCCCAGGTGCCACCCCTTCTCCAACAGTGGTCTGAGGAGGCAGTTTTGTCTGAGAAAGAGCCCAGGACAGGGGAAGAAGTCCTGGGGCCAGCTTGACTGGTAGCTTACACTAGGCCCCTGGCCACTGGGGACTCAGTTTCCCCATCTGTAGAACGAAATCATTTGACTACAAGAATTGAGGGTGCTCTGACCTGGCATCTGTGGATTCTGAGACTGAGGCCTCTGGGTGGCTGGTTCTCCCGCTGAGCCTCAGGGAAGGCCACATCTGAAGATGAAAGGGGAAGAGAAAAAGTCCAGGAGCTCAGCCTCTGCGTGGGGAACAGAGAGGGCAGAGAAAGGCTGGGAATGGGAGGGATACAGGGGATGGAAGCCAACTCCAGCCCTGGAGAGAGCAGAGTCCTCTGGAGAGGATGGGGCCCGTAGGAAAGATGCCGGGCCTTGTTGGAAAGCTGGGGAGGTAGAGGAAGGTGGGCTCCACTGCCTGCTCCATTCACCTGTGCTTCGGTCAGGGAAGAAATTACCCCAATCCACACTCCCTGCTTTCATGAGGGGCTGGTTCTCAGGCAACTCTTGTGGGCAACCTGCCTGGTGAAGTCATAGGTCGTGTCTGGGACCCCTTGTACTTCCCTCAAATCTCATGGCTCCTGTGTTTTTCCAGAATCCTGGACAGCATCTGTCCCCATCCCTCCTCTGCTGCCCCTCCCTGTGGCACCAGGGGAAGGGACTGTACCTCTGTGCATGTCCATGTCCACACCCACACCTTCTGCCTGTGTGCATGGGTGTGTGTGAGCGTGTGCACTTACCTGCCCAGAGGCTCTCTCTCTCCCTCCCTCCGTCTCTCCCTCCTTTCCTTTTGCTTTCTTTTCCTTTCTCTCTCTCTCTCTCTCTCCTTTTCTTACTTTCCTCTCTCTCCTTTCTCTCTCTCTCTCATGTGTGTGTGTGTGTCTGTGTGTGTCTCTGTGTGTGTTGTTACTGAGGATTGAACCCAGGGCCTTTGCAAAATCTTTAGCCCTTTTTATTTATATTTAGAGAAAGGGTCTTACACTAAATTGGCCAGGCATGACTTGAACTTTGCCACCCACCTGCCTCAGCTTCCCAGAGTGTGGGGATTACAGACTTGCACCACCACACCCAGTTCTTGCTTCTTTGTTGTATGTTGAGAAGCTCATATGAGCTGGGAGGAGCCTGGTGGCTCAGAGATTCTGGTAGGTTGAACACCTCCAGGGGATCTGGACTTCCTTTCCAGGGCAGGTGGAATTGGGCTCAGGCTGAAGCCTTCCTGCCAGGAGCCTTTAATAGTGTATCTCAGCTACCTCTCTGTGTGCCAGGAGCTCCAGAGCCTCCAGCTCCCTCCTGGGAGCGTCCTGGGAGCCTCCCGCTTTCTTCCTGACATGGCCACAGTTTTGCACATGTAGACTAAGAGGCTTAGCCTGACTGGGTCAGACAGGCATTGACCATTGCCTGTGAGGAAGACTTGAGTTGGCCAGGAAGATTTGGAAACTCTAACGACCCATTCATTCTTAGGCCCACTGCTGCAAGCCCACCAAATAGTGGCTGTGTGAGGACGGCTTTTAGCATCCCTGCCTCACAGTACATGAGAATTTCTCAGTGGGGCTGGGCCTGGGGCTGTGTGTCTGCCCTGGAGCAGGGCTGACTTGGGCTGCAAGTGCTGGAGTGATCTTTGCAGGGTCAGGGGGCAAGCTATGCCATGCTGCCCAAAGGGCAGGCTCTGAGAACAGAAGAGGAATTATTGGGTAGAATGCAGAGTGAGCCCCAAGCCTAGGAGAGGCAGCAGAGACAAGCAGCGAATGCCCATTCCCAGGAGAGGGATATGGCTGGAGGCCCAGAGCCCCAGTCCAGTCCTATGTCCCTCTGTCTGTCCACCTGCAGGCGTGCCGATGCTCTCCGTCCAGCCCAAAGGGAAGCAGAAGGGCTGTGCAGGCTGTAACCGCAAGATCAAGGACCGCTACCTGCTGAAGGCGCTGGACAAGTACTGGCACGAGGACTGCCTCAAGTGCGCCTGCTGTGACTGCCGCCTGGGCGAGGTGGGCTCCACCCTCTACACCAAGGCCAACCTCATCCTGTGCCGGCGTGACTACCTGAGGTGGGCCCGCCAGCCTCCCCAGCCCTGTCCTGCCCCTAGAGCAAGCCCTGCTTCAGGCCCAACCCTCCCTGAGTCCACACACTTCAGGGTCCCATCCTTGCCCTGCAACCCCAGATACCTGAGGAGCCGCCTGAGGCAGGGCCTGGCCTTTGACTTCTTGGACTCAGGGCCCAGCATGGCCCAGGTGGGCGTTTCTGGCTGCTGGGCACCTGAGATAAGCTTTGCAAGGGCACCATCAGCCTGGCTGCAGCCTTTGCTGGATGTTTCTGAGCCACCTATTCCTGAGTCTGGGAGGGGACACCTCAGAGGGGCTTTGAGACGTGTCTGGGCCCTTCCTCCCTGATAGCGTCTCCTGCCCACCCCTCTCAGTGTTCAGTTTCCTCCTTTCCAGAGGATGCTCAGGATTAACCGTCCTATTTGCCTTGGGAGCCTGGCATGTAGCCACAGCCTTGGATAAGGGCCACTCATGCTGGAGTTTAAAGACCTGGGTTTGAATCAGCTCGGAGCCTTTGGCTTCTAACCTTCTTCGACTCACTTTACTCCCCTGTGAAGTAGTGAAAAGAAGCCTGCTTCCCTGCCTCACATTCCTTTGAGCTCGGGGCTCACCCTCCCCCACAACCTGGATCCCATCTCCTGGGGCTGCCTCCCCCAATTAACCCTCCCTTAGGCCATTTATGACATCAGCAAGGCTGGAGGAGGCTGCAAAGCAGGGGCCTTGGCTGAGACCCAGCACCTGCATTTGGCTCTGTGGCAAGCTGCTGGATGGTGGCAGCCTTGTGGGGAGAGAAGGCCCATCGCATTAATTAACAGGTCAGGGCAAGGGCTTATGGGGCTCCCTCTGCTCAAATCAGGGCAAGCTGGAAGGAGCAGGGTTATCAGTGGAAGCACCACTACTTCCCTGAAGAGCCTGAGATTTAGCTGTCTGCACTTTTTCTTTTAATTCCTGCCTTTGTCAAGAACTTTTAAGAAGTGAGGCCGTGCAACAGGAGCCGTGGGTGAGAGCTCCTGAGCTGAGCTGGAGGAAAGAGGCTGGGGCCAAGGGAGGGCTTAAGAGTGCTTCTCGGGATTTCACCCCTCCGGAGCCTGGAATGCACCTCCTAGTCTGGAGGCGTAGAGCATCCCCAGGGCAGCTGAACCTTCTAGGCCAGGGAGAGGTGGCAGCCCATCTGATGGCTTCACAGGACCACGGGAGTAGGGTAGGATTGTCAGGAGAGCTGAGAAGCACCCATGACGTTCTGGGCCCTTGACAGCTTCTAGGGGCTGAAGTTTTTTTTCCTGCATTCTAGCAGAGGTGAGGAACTAATTTTGGGGCCAGGGAGGGCAGTGGAGCAGAGTAGGAGTGCAGCAGCCTTGATCTTCTTATCCCAGGGAATGTCTGTCCAGAGCCCACCCCTCTGCAGCAAGTGCTCACTGGGCTGGGAGCAGGAAAGGCCCACGCTGGCAGGCAGAGGCTGTGGACCAGCCTTTGTATGGCTTTGTCTGAGCCACCAGGCAGCTCAGGCTGATGAATAATGGAGCCAGGCTCCTCTGCAGGTGCCTGGGTTTGAGGTGAACAAATTGAGGATTAGAGGGGCCTCCTGCTTGCTCACTGCTCGGCCTCCACACTTCACTTGAGGCCCCACCATTGTGCAGAAAAACAGCAAGGAGGAGCATGGTTGGCTCAGATCATTGCAGCACCTAGCCAAGGACTGGCTGCATGGGAAGGGACTGGACTCCCTCTCCTAGAGCCCTGCGGCCAGCAGCTGAGAGAAGAGGTGCCTGCCTCAGAGAGGCCATTGTGCCACATGTCTTCAGGTCTTTCTCTGGGTATCAGTTCTGTTTGAGAAATACCTTTGGACAGGACCATCTGCCCCAGCATCCCCATTTTACAGAAGGAGAAACTGAGGTGCAAAGAAAGAAAAAGGACTTAAGTGATACAGCAAGTTCATAGCGGAAACATGTTTCAGTTATGCACTCATTTAAAGACAGAGAGGCTGCACCATGCAGTGGTATAGAGCAAACCCACACCTCCATCAGAGGAACCAGGCCCACTGATGACCTCTCCAAAGAGGACTCGGTCCTCTTAGCTGGAAAATGGGGGGATAATATAGCTCTCCACTTCTAGGGTTGCTGTTGAGGTCAAATGAGGGTATCTTTGTGAGTTCCTGGAATAGCCCCGACAGGTGAAGAAACTCTCCCCCTTTCCCCCAGGTGTTTGCCAAATGAGCCGTGACTGAGTTTACAGTAGTTTCATAACTACCCCCATGAGAGGTATCTTCATTTGGGTCTTAATTTGGCAGTTGAGGTCATCAAGGCTCAGAATAACTCAGTGACTTGCCTAAGGACACACAGGCCATGATGAGCCAGCCCCCTGCCTCTGAATCTTAGGCTGGTGTGAGTCTGAAGGCTTCACTCAGGGCCCAGCCTTGTATTCTCCTGCAGGCCTCAGGTGCTTGAGGGACCCCAGGGACATCTTGGAGTGGGCCCCTGACCCCTACACAGCCTTCTTGGTGGGGACCAGTTTTTCTGAATCTTGATCTCTTGGCAGGCTCTAGATGATGCCTCTACTCCTTTTGCCCCTTGCCCAGGCCTACCTGCTATACCCACAGGGCTGGAGAGTGGGCAGGGCCCTGGGTGGAGGCAGCTGTCCTAGGCCACAGTTCTCTGGCACGTCTCTGAGTCCTCTGTGCCCTTTCCTCACAGGCTCTTTGGCACCACTGGAAACTGTGCTGCCTGCAGCAAGCTGATCCCAGCCTTCGAGATGGTGATGCGGGCCCGGGACAATGTGTATCACCTCGACTGCTTTGCCTGCCAGCTCTGCAACCAGAGGTGAGTGCTGGACCCATGGCAGACCTGACACACTCCCCAGACGCTGGCCTGAGGCCTGCTGGGCAGGCTGGGCATGTGTGCGAGTGTGGTTTCTGTGTGTATGTGGCTGTGTGCCTGTTGTGAGCACGTTTGCGTGTCTGTGCTTTATGTGTGCCTAAGCCTTGTAGCCAAAGTGTGCACCCTGGTACTGGGTTCCACATGAGTTTCCTGTGTATGCACAGTGTGAGTACACCTTGAGTATATTTGAATGTCCATGTACAAATGGGTGCACATGCATGGATTTAATATTCATGTGCGCATGTGTCTTTCAATGTCCACATGCAAGTATGCATGTGCTCTGTGTACATGATGAGGTGAATGTGTGCACACGTGTTTAAAACAGGTGCAAGAAGGTAAGGCATACGTGCCTTTTGTCCTGTGCGTAATTGTGTGTCTGTGTGTACAGTCCAGTGAGAAAGGATTTTCAGACATGCAAGGTGAGATCCTTTCACGAATATTCACTCACTCCTGACCCCATTCTTGTGACTCTGATTCTAACCCAGCCTCTTTTGTGACTTTTTGGACCCATGGGAGGTTACAGAGACCTAAGGAGCCAAAACCCTTCACCCCTAGCAAGGGCCTAACACCATAAAGAGATCCTTCTTATCAGGAGCCTCCGCCAGGTAGGAACTCATACAGTGTTCCCAGAGCAGGAGGTACAGAGCAACTGTGCAGAATGCTGGTCTGGCCAGGGGCTTTGGCCAGATCACTGCTAGGAGAGCTTGGTGAAGTTACAGAGCCACCTGGTGGCACAACTGGGATCTGCTGGCCCTGGGCCAGAGACCCTGAGGCTCACTAAAGGCCTCACCCTGGGGCCCTCTTTGAGGGAAAGACTGGAATCCCCCAATACTTGTGGTGGACTAGGGAGCCAAAGCATGGTCTTCTTTTGGTAGCAGAAAAAATAGTGGATCAGGTCACTCCCTGGAGCACCAAGTAATCTACAGTTTCTGTTCAGAAGAAGCATCCCTTTTCCTAAGCCATCTTCTTAAACTGGGGAGGGGAGCAAAGAGATGGGGGGGGACATTTATTCCTCCTTCCTTTCCCATCTCCCTCTCTCTGTTTCTCCCTTTTTTCTGTTTATTTGTCCTCTCCCTCTCTAGAACTGGAATAAGCTGTTCCTCTACTTCTCCACCAAACCTCTCCCACCAGCCCTGCCTCTACCTCCACTGCAGGTCTGAGGGTGGAGGCCTGTGGACCAGGCTACTCCAGGCTGCAGGGCCCGGCCAAGGGTAACTGACCAGGCCTACTATGGGACTCTTGCCAACCCCTCTGCGAAGTTCAAGGAGCAAGTTCCCCAGCACAGCGTCTCCTACATGCCCCCCTCCTGGCCAGGCTGGGTCTTGCTTCCCACTGGGGTCCCTCCTACAGCTTTTCTTTCTTGCTTGGATTTTCTAGATTTTGCGTGGGAGACAAATTCTTCCTGAAGAACAACATGATCTTGTGTCAGATGGACTATGAGGAGGGGCAGCTCAATGGCACCTTTGAAACCCAGGTTCAGTAACGCCCGGTGCCCGGCCACCAGGCCCATCCGTCCTTCTGCCCGCCTGCCCACTCTCCTGGCAGGCCAGCCAGCCACTCTGCCGCCACGGGCTGGCCAGCTGCTGTCCTGCCGAATCAGAACTTCTCCATCCTGGATGGGAGGGCGGCCCCTCCTCTACTGCTGCCGCCCCTCTGTGTGTGACCCCTCCTGGGGCCGGGCTGGGCCTGTACAGTCTGTCTTCTGTATATAAATGGGAACATTTATTTTATGAGAAATGTAATGCGATTTTATTACTGGCGTGGATTAAACTTATGAATGTTTCCGGGGACATAACTCTGCGTGTTTGCATGACTGACGGGGACCTGGGGGTCCCCTCCACTCTGGCCCTCAGGGGCAGGACACAGAGCAAGGGTGGTGCTTTAGCATGTGCTGTCGCTGAGCAGAGCACCTGGTTGGCTTTAGGGAAAAGCCAAAAGTATACACCTGATCTGAGCAGAGTCCTAAGAAAGGGGGCAAGGTGCAGCCCTGGGTTCCTGTGACCCACCTCCTCATTGGCTGGCCAGTGGGGACCCAGCCCTCATCTACTCCGCAGCAGATCTCCAAACCCTGAGCCCTATATCATGGAAGTGTACCACCGAGATGCCTCTTCTCCTTCAGGGCAACAGTGTGTGTTTTCTTGGGCCAGATCTGAGGTGCAGCCTTCTGTTCTTCTAGGTGAGTGAGAACGAATCTGTTTCCCTTCAGCTTACCCCATGCAGGCTGGAGACAGTCAGTCAGTCAGTCAGTCAGCAAGCCTTGGTGTATTCTATGTAGCAACTCTGTGCTTTGAGACCTTCAGGGCCAGTGTGTGTTTTCTTGGGCCAGATCTGAGGTGCAGCCTTCTGTTCTTCTAGGTGAGTGAGAACGAATCTGTTTCCCTTCAGCTTACCCCATGCAGGCTGGAGACAGTCAGTCAGTCAGTCAGTCAGCAAAAG